CCTGGCTCAGGCCGCAGTACTGCAGGCGGTGGGCGGTAGATACCTAGATAACCTTCGGTAGTTCACAGGCCCCTGAGTCAGGGCCACCCACCTCGGGTGATCCTGTCCCCGAGCTGTGGGTCTACAGCACCAGGGTGTGGTCTGTCGGCCTCTCATTCCCGCAGAGATCTCACAGTGCACGCTGCTCTTCTGTGCACTCTTACCCTCTCCCGGGCTTCGGAACACTCCGTCTTCACTGCCTTTTCTAGTCTTAGCCCTGTGTAGGAGCAGTGTGGGGTCTGACAGAATTCCCTGGTCCCGTTTACTGCAAAGACAAGTCTAGAGGATTTTTATGTCCAGCACACATGACATATGTTAATATTGGCACTGTCAGCCCAAAATAAAAGGACATAAATCCATCAAGATCCTGCGATACAAGGAGTCGGGAACCCTGACTGCTGGCCACTCGGGCCTCCCCCGTGCTGTGTCCTGGGGAGGGGGCGTGGTGCTCCTCCGGTCCACTGCCTGTGTCAGTCTCGCTGCTCGAGGCGGGGCGGAAACAGCAGCTCTTACACCAGGCTGTGGAGCAGCTCAGAGTTACAGCCTAATTCCAGGCCAGCCAGTACTTTCTGGTAGTTGTCTGAACTTGAAATAAGTTGTAAAATTTATGGCAAGAGCAGTTAATAAATAATTTAGGGGCTGGGGATTTAGCTCAGTGTTTCTGCCACCTGTCTCAAAAGTGCGAGGAGCCGAGTTCGATCCCCAGTACCAAAAATAAATAAATAAATAATTTAGGATTAGGACAATACAAAGCAAAAATTTAAAAATAATCTTTACTTCACTTATCACACCTAAGGCACTCTGCACACAAAGGCATGTTCCATACATCCATGTCACACTGACAGCACATATGTTTGGTTTTCTGCCCTTTTTGTAGGACATACTTGACATCTCGCTGGTCTTGCTGTTTTGTCAGGAGGTTCTTATTATATTATACACTGTGCGGTTTACAAGAACATAAAATATCAACAAAATAAAGTATTCTTTTTTTTTTGTACCGGGGATCAAACTCGGGACTTTGCTCTTTCAAGGCAGGCGGTGGAACCACTGAGCTAAATCCCTGGGCCTTAAATTCTTAGTATGTATTGCACATTTAGAATAAACATCAACATTTTCACATCAGCTGTGTATTTGGTTACAAAACCTAGAAGATAACATCAGAAATAAATTTCTATATGAACTACAATGAAAACCCCAGTTGAACTCTACAACAGAAATAATCTCTGCTTCAACTGTCACACCCAAGGCAGTCTCCACACATGACAGCTGCATGTTCCATGCACACATCTGGCTCACACTGACAACACATGTGCTTATTTTCCTTTCCCGGTGGCAGGCCGTTCTTGGCACCTCTCTTGTCTTCCTGTTTTGTCAGGAGCTTCCTACGATATTGTACAACATGCACTTAGCAGGAAAATAAGATATCAGTAAAATGTCAACTATGTAATGAGCACTTAGAACAGACATCAGCATTTTCACATCAGCTGTTCACTTGCTTAAAAAACCTAAAAGATGACATCAGAAATAAAAACCTATGTGAACTACAATGTAAATACTTACACAAGTTAAACACAGAAATAATCTCGGCTTCAACTGTCACACCCAAGGCAGTCTCCACACATGACAGCTGCATGTTCCACACAAGTATTGCTTACACCGATAGTGCATATGTTTTGTTTTCCTGTCCTTTTTTGTAGGGCACAGATGTTTAGGATACAGTAAAACATAACCATTGGCCAACGCTCTGGGTTTCGAGTGACTTCATAGTTGCTGCGTAACTCATCAACAACATCTACTCTGCCTTCGGTTTTGTTGTAGACGGTTTCCATCTCAGGCTTCCATGATGTTGACGTTTCCCTAGGAATATTTCCATCATGGTGCAGTGTTGACTTCAGCAGTATCAGTTGGTTTTACTTTGCCATATGTGAGGTCAATGTTACATCTTTCTGAAATTCAAAGATTGTACTATACAATTCTCTGTTTTAAAACTGTATCGTTCCATTTGGAGTTTCTGCTTTGTTCCTGTGTGTGGTTCCTATGCTGGTCAACTTGTGCTCTGTTAGCAAATGTAGCATTGATTGGAAACTGGTAAACCAGTTGTCCGATGTCACATTCCGATTAGTCTGGAGATGGGAGCAACAAGTCTGTTCACAACATCATTTGGTTTATCAATATACGAATAAGGACCTGGTGGCTGAGTTCCAGGATAAATTTCTAAACTGAAAGCATGATAAGTCTTCGCATTCACAAGAGTATAAATTTTTATGCCATATTTTGAAGCAATTTTTTTTGCATATACTACCTGAAGCTACAGTGACCACGAAAGGCTGCAAGATGTTCATCAATGGTCTTGTATTCAGAAGGTGTGTAAAATTGTTTGACAATTACTCACAAATCTCTCAGGAGCAGGTAGCAGCCAGATTATCAGTTCTTTTTCTGTCTTGGAGGTAATTTTGTCATCAAGCCTCAGGCAGTTTTGTTTTGTTTTGGGTTTTTTTTGATACCAGGAATCGAACTCAGGACCTTGCTCTTGCGAGGCAGGCGCCAGAACCACTGAGCTAAATCCCCAGCCCAAGCCTCAGGCGGTTTTGAAGGAAACCAAATCTCCCCATTGTCTCTGTTCTACAAACCTCAGGCTCACACAGTGCATTGTTTCTGCTTTCCTTTGGGTACCTGAGAAAGCCCTAAGTATAGCAGACCTATGACTGCTTTCAGTTCAGCTAGTGAGGTGTCATCATAAATAGATTTCTGAGTACAGCCATTGGTGCCTACAGAACGGTATTTCACAACATCTTGTAGCATTTCAACTGTTACAGTTTCCAACGTTGAATGGTAGTGCTTGCATTCTGCCCAATAGGTTCAGCCGGGTCAAGATCCTAGTGGTGTATTCAGACATAGTTCTAACACTGGATCATTCCATTTGGTTGCGTGACCATTTGGACCATTTTAACCAGTCAAATATGCTCTCAACATTGCTGTTTTCTTCGTCATCTGAATCAAGGAGGTCTGCATTCCCTGTGTCTGTATCAGTTGATTCTTGCTCCATTTCACTGTGACAGGAACCTTGGCTCACATGGCCAACGTCAGAGTCATCATCATCTTCATCCTCCATGCATGAGTAAGCTGGTGACTCACTGTCAACCTTTAAAACTTGCAAATCTGGTATTCCGTGTGCCATTGTATGGAATTGGGCTACTTAAGCTCGTGTGGGCCGCAGGGGGTCTCCACTGCGGGCTGGCCTTGGCGGTGGTGACCAGCAGGGGCAGACAAAGCACAGGTGAGCGGGCTGTGAGGAGTGACAGCAGCAGTGGGGATGCACCCGGCCTCCCCAGCTCCAAGGTTTATTTTTTTCTTTTCTTTTCCCCTCAGTATTGGAGATTAAACTCAGGACCTTCCATTTGCTAGGCAGGCGCAGCACGACGGAACTACATCCCTGGCCCATCACATACTTTATTTTTATTTATTTATTTATTATTTTATTTTATTTTTTGGTACCAGAGATCGAACTCGGGTCCTTGCACTTTCAAGACAGGCAGCAGAACTACTGAGCTAAATCCCCAGCCCACATACTTTATTTTTTAAGTTACATTAATTAAAATTTTTAGGAGATCAGGGTTTTGCTATGCTGCCTAGGTTTCCTTTAAACTCTTGGTCCTAAGTGTATTTCCTGCCTCAGCCTTCCCAGGAGCTGGGACTACACATATAGCCCACCATGCCCAGCTACAAACTAACTGAATCTTAGCCCCGGCCCCTGCCAGTGCTGGAATGGAACCCAGGACCTTCACACTGAGCTACATCCCAGCCCATTTTTTATTTATTTTGAGGCAGTCTCAGTTGCTAAATTGCCCAGGCTGCGTTTGAAGTTTCCACCCTCCTGCCTCAGCCTGCAAGAGTTCTGGGATTACAGGTGTGTGCCGCCAAGGCCAACTGACTGAATTGTAAGCAAAAGGGTTCTTAGAATAACTCTTATCACAGAGTTCACATATTCTTTCTTCACTTCTAGGGTTCTGTTTTGTTTAATGGATTTTGTTAAATACTCTCTGTGTGTATGTGTGTGAGTTAGCATTGAACCCAGTGCCTTCATTCTGAGCTATGTCCCCAGGCCACTTTGTGAGACTGGGTCTCACTAAGTTCCCCAGTCTGGGCTTAAACTTAGGAATCCTGCCTCAGCCTTCCAGAGTGCAAGATTACAGATACATGCCACCATGCCCAGTTTAAATGCATTTTTATAAGTATATAGGTAATTGCCCCCCCCATATCCAAAATTGAACTCATGACCGTACGCTTGCCAGGCAGGTCTGGTGCCACTGAGCTACATCCCTGGCCTATATATGTAATTTTTTTTTTTTTTGGTACTGGGGATCGAACTTGGGTCCTTGTGCTTGCGAGTCAGGCAGCAGAACCACTGAACTACATCCCCGGCCCTATATGTAATATTTTTAAAAGCCAGGTGCAGGCCCAGGGATGTAGTTCACTGGCACCGCGCCTGCCTTGCAAGGGCAAGGTCTCAAGTTCTATCCCCAGTACCAAAAAAATAATAAAAGCCAGGTGCAAAAATATGTAATGAAAATGAAATAAAACAATATTTATGGAGCTAATAGGAAACGTGAAAATATTTACTAGTTGATCTTCAAATAGCAAAACTAGGCAAGTTTTATTTTCCATTTATTTTCCCTAATTTCAATGCCAAGAGTAAATTATTGGTCTGCTTAGAAAAAATATAATAAATGAACCACAATTGGTGTCCTGTTTTTCTTGCACTTCTGGGACTCCACCCAGAGCCTCACTAATCTGAAGTGAGCACCTTTGCCTCGGAGCTGTCCCTTTGTACCTCTGTCCACTAGATAGACATACCGGTGAGCGCTCACCACATTCATATGCTCAGGCAGGGGCGCTTCTGCTGGGTATCCAAGGAGCCTGGGGAAGGAGGAATTCAAAGTCATTTCTTTCTTGCCTTTTAGATGCCAGAATTCCAGAGAAGTTCGGTTCGCATCAAGAACCCCACAAGAGTAGAAGAAATTATCTGTGGTCTTATCAAAGGAGGAGCTGCCAAACTTCAGGTGACTAATTATCAAGAAGCAATCATTAGGAAGGTTTTATTCTCAATGGTCCAGCAGACCTCTCCTCTCCTATTGAGATAATCTGTGTAAAGCAAAGTTAAATAGGGTTTTGCCTGTAAAAAATGTAAAATCTAAAAATATATACATATACTTAGAGTTGGCTTAAAAAGCAGTATTGCTCTTTTTGGAAATGCAAACGCAAATTAGTAACTTTGAGATGAACTTAGACTTCTTTTTTTGTTGTTTTGTTTTGGGCACTGAAGGTTGACTCCAGGTCCTTGTGTGCGCTGAGGAAGCCCTCTACTACTGAGCCCCCAACTTTTCTTTATTATTTTATTAACTAATGTCATGCACAAGTGTTTAACCATTTTAAGAATAACAGTTAAAAGTGTATAATTTTAAGTCTTCCATATTTTAATTAAGTCATTGTTAAAATAACCTTATTAGGAGATACTTAAATTTTCTTTTTTTTGTGGTACCAGGGATCGAACTCAGGCCCTCGCTCCTATGCAGCAGGCGGCGAAACCACTGAGCTAAATCCCCGGCCCAAGTTTTCTAATTCTCTCTTTTAAAGAATATTTTAGGGCTGGGGATTTAGCTTAGTGGTTCCGGTGCCTGGCTCACAAGTGCAAGGTCCTGAGTTTGATCCCCAGTACCCAAAAAAAAAAAAAAAAATTTTAAATGTAAATTAAACTGATACTGTAAATACTGAATAGAAACAGATTAGTTCTGTTTTTACCTAGATGTGATGGTGCAGTCTGGGAGGCAGAGGCTGGGGGTCACAAGTCTGAGCCTAGCCTGGACAGTTTAGTGCCAAAGTGAGGCCTTGTCTCAAAATGGCTGGCCGGCTGGCTGGACAGACGGACGGATGGACGGATGGACAGGCAGGCAGGCAGGCAGGCAGGCTGGGCATGTACCTCATTGTGAAGGGCCTGGTTTGAATCTGCATTACTGAAAAAAATTACAGTATTTTTCTAAAAAAATAATACTTAACTCAGTCTCTCTTTTTTATTTTTAACTCAGTCTCTTAAGTTTTAAGAGCTAGTAGACTATTTCTTTGTGTTCGTAGGTATTGTCCTTAGTGAGCAAGTTAAATCTAGCATGTAACTTGTCAGTAACTAAGAACTTCATGCATTTTATTTCTTCTAGTGCATTTTTGTACATTGAGTTGGCCAAAATTCTTGCAGTGTTTTATCTCTAGAGAGAAGAATAACCAAATCACCAACAATTGAAAATTCCTATACTGATGTACAGATTTATTTGGTGACAAAGCTGGGCAGTTAAGAGAGCACCTGTAGTCAGTCATTCCCCAGACTGGGTGGACAGCAGCAGAGAGCTCAGGGTGAAGATGGTGTCCTGCAGCAGGGTGCATGTGGGAGACGCCTGCAGGTGGTGGTGGTGGATAACGCCCTTCTCCCTTTTCTTACAGATAATAACAGACTTTGATATGACACTAAGCAGATTTTCCTACAAAGGGAAAAGATGCCCCACATGTCACAGTAAGTATGATACTCTTAAAAAAAAACTTGAATGATAAATATTTTAAGATCCATTTTGCCTGCATTATCTGTGAGATAATGGGGAGTTTAAAACTCCTTTTGAATATTAGAAGTGGGGAGAACCTGCTTTTTCTTAATATATTTTGAGGATTGTTTTCCTTATGTTATATAAATGGCTATTTTCATGTATAGTTTTGATAAAAAGGGCATAGAGACTTCAGAATATTTCACACTAAATGTAGTCTGCTCATTGTTCAAGAATTATTTAAATTAGTTTTCTATTTTTGGTTTTTTTGAGACAGGATCTCACTTTGTAGTCCAGGCTGGCCTTGAACTCACTGTTACAGCCCAGGTTGGCCTTGAACTTGTGGCAGTCCTCCTGTGTCAGGCTCCCGAATGCTGGGATTATAGATGTGTGCCACCATGTCCTGCTTTAAATTGGTTGCTTTTTTTTTTTTGGTAGTGAGGATCGAACCTCGGGTCCTTGTGCTTGCGCAGCAGGCAGCAAAACCACTGAGCTAAATCCCAAGCCCTGCTTTTTTTTTTTAATTGGTTTTAAACTTTGTGTTAATGTAGAAAAATAGCATTTGCCAAATACTCTTGGCAGAGAATTTAGCTCAGTGGTACAGCTCATGCGTAACATGCACAAGGCCCTATGTTCAGTCCCCAGGTCAAAAACACACAAGTGCACACATACACACACACACACTTTTCTAGGAGTTTTAGTTATAATTTATTAAAAAGTAAACTATTAAGGGGCCAGGGATTTAGCTCAGTTGTGCCGCTGCCTGCCTCACAAGTACAAGGCCCTGAGTTCAGTCCCCAGTACCAAAAAAAAAAAAGAAAAAGTAAGCTATTAAATAAATCACAAGTTAAATTGTGTTGCTAAATTTTCTCGTGGTACTAGGGAATCAAACCCAAGGGCAGTTTGCCACTAAGCTGCATCCCCATGGCTTTTTACTTTACTTTTCTTTTTTTTGGTATAATTTGTACTCTTACAATCTGCTAGAGTTGGAAATACAGCTCAGTGGTAGAGTGCTTGCCTACTGTGCTTCAGGCACTGGGTTTGATCTGTAACACCACACACAAAAAAACTAAAACTAAGAAACACGCATAGCACCCCCAAAACTGCTACTCCCTACCCCAGTAATTCCTCTTTGAAGAGTTACAAAAGCTTGGAAGCAACCTAAAATGCTTTGCACTGTAGCAGCAGTATAAATTCTGTCCTGCCCACAGGGCAGCGACTCTAACCATTATGAATGGGTGGTAGGGCCGGGGATGTAGCTCAGTGGTTTCACTGCCTGGCTTGAAAGCGCAAGGACCCAAGTTTGATCCCTGGTACCAAAAAAAGAATGGATGATAGTTAGGGAATTTGTGTTTCATTTTGTTTATGGTTCTAGGAATCAATTCAGGGCCTTATGTGTGCTAGGCAAGAATCCCACCACTGAGCCCAGCCCGTAGAGGGTTTTTAATTCACGAAAAACATGAACCACAATGTGAAATAAAAAAGAATTCAAAATTATAGATTGGGTTTGATTCCCTTTCTAATTGATAATATATAATATTTTAAGACCAGAAGGAAATCCACCTAAAATATTAATAATTTATTTTTGAACAGTAAAATTATGATTTTTTTTCTCTTTTATAATAGACTGATTTCTGTATTTTCACATTGTTTATTGTCTTATTAAGAGAAAGTATAGCCGGGGATTTAGCTCAGTGGTTCCGCCGCCTGCCTCACAAGCACAAGGTCCCGAGTTTGATCCCTGGTACCAAAAAAAAAAAATCATGGTCACTCTTTCACCCATGTAGGATGAACACCAGTGACTGACATTCTAAACAGGTATCAGTCACCTGGGTGGGGGGCCCAGGTCTTAACCCAGCCTCTCCAGGAAATATCCCTGACCCCCACCCCTACTGAAAATCCTTGTACGCTTCCTAGTGACTCGCTCCCCCATTTGACCCCCATTTAATCAATAACACCTGGGTGACTGTACTTGTAATCCTATCGGTTGGTCATGGTTTTGTCCCCTCATGCCCACCTTGTAAATTTCCATGGGTCTTTAGTTTTGTCCCACTTTGTACCCGCCTCACCACATGGCTTTGCTGTATAAAACATCTTTGAACCGTGGGGCTCATGGGCAACCCACTTTCCAGTCCCCCTTCTGTCTCTCTTAGGCAGAAGCTTTCTTTCTCTCAGTAGATTTTTCCTACTCTTAAAAAAAAAAAGAAGGTATAGAGTGGCGTACACCTTTACTCACAGCACTCTGGGAGGCTGAGTCAGGAAAATCCCGAGTTTGAGCCCAGCCTAGGCAACTGAGTGACTTAGTTTGACCATATCTCAAAATGAAAAATAATTTTACAAATTTTAAAGAGTTGGTAATGTCGCTCTATGTGAAGGTACTGGGTTCAATCCTCAGTAATTCATTTTTTAAAAAGAAGAAAGAAGAAAAGGTATAGAACCAGGCATGATGACACATGGCTGCAATCTCAGCACTCAGGAGGCTGAGCCCGGAGGATCATCATGAGTTCAAGCCCAGCCTGAGCAACTTAGCTGACTCAGTGCGACCCTGTCTTCTAATACAAAGAAAAACCCTGGTGTGGTGGCACATGCATATAATCCCAGCACTCAGGAGGCTGAGCCTGGAGGATCATCATGAGTTCAAGGCCAGCCTGGACTACAGAGCAGGCCCTGTCTCAAAATAATAAAAACAACAGTTAAGTAAAAACAGAATTAAAAGGACTGGGGAATGTAGCTCAGTGCAGAGGCCCTGGATTCAATCGCTAATACGACCACCCCCATAGTATTTTTCACTTTTATTAAAGGCAGAAAAAGAAACAGGCTTTGCAGAGCGAGTTTGGGCCAAGTGAAAATAAAAAAAAAAGTCTACTCTGGAGCGTGCGGGTGGGCCTCTGTGAGAGCGCAGTAGCACCAAACGCCAGGCCCAGCCGTCCCTTCCGCCCACGCCAGGCTGGGGTCGGCTCTCGGCTGTACCCCCAGACCTGCTGAGTTCTCTTGGGAAGTTTTGCACAGCCGTGTGTCCCGGGGCTGCGTAGTGAGCCCGCCAGCCTCCTCCTCGGCCAGCTTTGCCCATGCCCTCGTCTCCTGCCTTAGGACCTTCCTTGCTTTCATTTAGTTAAAAAGGTGAGCCGGGGACTGTTTGAAGACCCTCAGCAGTCAGGGCCAGTGGCGCCTGTGAGGGTCGCAAGGCTCTGATGGGAGCTGTTCCCTTCCACAGCAGTGGTGCAGGACTTGTGACATTGAGACCAAAAGTTTTGGAGGTTTTTAAACTGTTTTTGGTTTTGTTTTGTTTTTGCTTTTTTGTTTTTTTTTGAGACAGGGCTCGCTATGTAGTACAGACTGGCCTTGAACTCACTGCACACCCCAGACTGCTCTCCAGCTTGCAGAGACCCTCCTGCCTCAGCCTCCTGAGTGCTGGGATCACGGGCATGTGCCACCACACCCGGCTTGAGATTAGGAGTGTTAATAACTGTGCTGCTTGACTTGGCGTTTAAAGTGAAAAGTATACAGGCCAGGGATTTAGCTCAGTGGTGCCGCCACCTGCCTTGCAAGCGCAAGTCCTGAGTTCGATCCCCAGTACCAAAAATAAATAAATAAATAAATAAATAAAATGAAAAGTATTCAGTTATTTCTGGCAGTGGTGGCATTGATGAGAGTATTTTCTTTTAATGCCTGTTTTGCTTTCTCACTAGATGTCATTGATAATTGTAAGCTGGTTACAGATGAATGTCGAAAAAAGGTAAGCCTCACCAGGAATGCAGAGTTAGTCTGTTGCCTGAAAATCACATCAGGTTTGTTCACACAAACAAAAAGTGTTTTATTTTGTTTTGTTTTGTGGTACTGGGGATTGAGCCCAGGTCTTCATGTGTCTAGGCAGGTGCCCTACCACTGAGCCACACCTTCAGTCCTGTTTTATTTTGAGACAGGGTCTCAGTGAGCTGCTCAGATTGGCTAAGCTTATTCTACTCCTGCTTCAGCCTCCCAAATAGCTGGCATGCGTTGCTATCCATCTTCCCCAGATTTTTGAGAAAAATTAACAGTGACTTTCAAACCAACTGTCTTAGTTACTTTCTTGTTGCTGGACAAAATGCCCAACACTGCAAGTTAAAGGAGGAGAGGTTTATTTTGGCTTGTGGTGTATAGGGTTTTGGTCTGTAGTGGGGCTGGTCCAAGGTGGGGCAGAGGAGGCCTGCTCATGGCATGGCATGGCGGGGAAGCGGAAGCGAAGCCAAGCGAGCATCAGGGAGGAGTGATGCGCACACACACCCTCCCCGCCCAGCTCCCCACCCGCCTCGGCCCACCAGGCTGCCCTCCCAACGCCGCACCCAGCTGTGAACCCGTGTGGCTCACTGTGAGCGCGTGAGGCTTTAGAGGCATGTCTAGACAGAAACCATGACACCAGCAAACCTTAGATTTTTTAAACTTGTGAGTAATTACCAAGATGTTGTAGTGTATTCAACTAACTGAAAAATTAGAACAAAAGTGCTTTGGTTTTACAGTTTTTGTTTCCTTAAATTGACCAGGAAATTGCTTTAGTACTTTGCATGAGTGTCTATTCTGAGTGTTGAACCTAATCGGATCTGCACTGTGAATCAGTTTTAACACTGCTCATGTGAGAACTGAAGCTTTGTAGTGACCATCTGATGAGTAGTTAGGTAGATTTCATAGGAATATGTCATTGTATGCAAACTAACCCCAAAACGTTCTCTTCAGGGGTCCATCAGCCCAGTTTATTCTCCACCTGTGGAAAACAGCTATTTACACTGTTCTGCTTTCTATAAAACAAAGCAGAGTGGTCACAAGACTAACCTGCATAATGCAGTCCTGTTTCTCTCTAGTTACTGCAGCTGAAGGAGCAGTATTACGCTATCGAGGTGGACCCTGTGCTTACTGTGGAGGAGAAGTACCCTCACATGGTAGAATGGTAAGTGTGAGGGCTGAAAACCCCATATAGCTGTTACAGTTCAAACGGACCAGCCAGGCATGCTAGCACATGCCTGTGATCCCAGCACCTGGGAGGCTGAGGCAGGAGGATCTCTGTGAGCTCACGAGCAGCCTGGGGTGCATAGTGAGGTCCTGTCTCAGAACCAAACACAAACCTTGCCTTCGTAAGTGTGTGGATAAGATGTGGCTTACTGTGCCAGAGACAAAAAAAAATAAGGTTCTAATTGACTGACTCAGTCTGGCCCCACTGCTGACACAGCTGCGGGTGAATAGAGTGTGGGTGTGGGCTCAGGGCGTGCCGCCACAGCACCTCACCTGGGGGCCACTTCCAGGAGCACGGAATGATGTCAGGCAAAGGCTGTAGCCTGGGGAGAGCACTTGCCTGGCACGCTCTAGGTCCTGTTTGGGTTTTTTTTGGTACCGGGGATCGAACTCGGGTCCTTGCGCTTGCGAAGCAGGCGGTGCTGAAACCACTGAGCTAAATCCCCAGCCCTCTAGGTCCTGTTTGTACAAAAAAGGTGCCTAATTTGAGAAGAAGCAACTGATGCTTTAAAATCTGAGACCAAAAGTATTTGTCTCACTGTCCTGTTACCTAACAGGATACAGTTCATCTGTGTTTATGATACTAAATTTGAAAAGGGACTTTCTGTACCCAGAAGCAGAACTGGAGCAGAACTGGAGCCGGGCGTGGTGGCACACACCTGTGATCCCAGCATTGCAGAGTTTTAGGCAGGGGAATTGCTACAAGTTCAAGGGTAGCCTGAACTATGTAGGGAGACCCTGTCTCAAAAGAACCCTCCCAAAAAAGCAGATTTGATAGGAGTAAAATGGTTTCTACATAATGAAAGAAAGGACTGTCTAGGAGTTAGAGTTGTCTGGCAATGGAGTAAGCTGCCCTTGGAGAATGAGCTCACTGACTGACAGGAAGCTGACAGACTGAGAGGAAGGTCGACTGGGAGTGTGGAGCGGTGGATTAGACTCTGCGTAAGAGTCACGTCCTAGGGGCCCTCAGGTAGAGTGCTGTAATTGTAGGAGTTCTCACACGAGCACAAAGCAGGCTGCTCTACACAGAACTGGCCATGCCAAGTGATGCTCGCTAGGCATCACCATCATACTTTCCATGAAGATTTCAGCTGCAATTTAGTGACACCCTATCTCAAAATCAAAAGGGCTAAGGATGCTGCTCAGTGCAAAGACCCTGGGTTTAATCCTCAGTACTGCCAAAAAAATAAAAAGCACATCACATTTTGAGACACATTTGGGATATACATTAATTAGTGATTAATTTAAGCCTCAAAGATTTAAATCTAAATGCGAGGAACACAAGTCATTTTCTCTACTAGATGCTTTGTAATAAAGATAATTGTCTTAATTCATTTTTCCTTCTTTGGTCAAAACTGCAGGTATACAAAGTCACACGGTTTGCTTGTTGAGCAAGGTATACCAAAAGCTAAACTCAAGGAAATTGTGGCAGAATCTGATGTTATGCTCAAGTAAGTTTCTTGAGGATTTTTTATTACTGTCAACAGAATTGAACTATTGTTAAAAATGCACTCAACTGTATGTTTTTACGAAAAAGAGCTATAACATTCCATTATGTATGTGCTACCTGTTATAAAAGGGATACTGGTGAAATATGACATGTTAGATTCAGTGTAGATGACAAGGCCCTTAGAATTAAGTGCTAATTTGTATTTCCTTTCTCTAAATTGAAAAATTCCAGACAAACTTACAGATTTATGCAATCAAGACCATTTTGAAATTCTTTAGTAAAATACTTTCAAAAGAACTATTAAGGGGGCTGGGGATTTAGCTCAGTGGTTCCACTGCTTGCCTCGAAAGTGCAAGGTCCTGAGTTCGATCCCCAGTACCAAAAAAATAAAAAAGAACTAACTATGAAAGGAAAGGAATGTTTACAAATCAAATTGCAAAGAATATAAATTTATATATTTATAAATTTATATGAGTACTGAATTCTCAGACTTCCTTGAAAACTTTCTGGGAAAGGTACCTAATTAAAATATTTATAATGCATGAATTATAATGTATCAGAAGCTTTATTTTCAATACTGTTTACCACATCATAAAATTATGAACTTGTTAGGCAAATGCAATGGTGCTAATCTTACAGTACATGTTCCACCATTAAGCTACACACTAGCCACCCCTGATGTTGGATGCTGCTATATTTTATGGTAATTACTTCTAAGAAGGGAAGTATAAAGTTGTCACAAAGAGTGAACTAATGAGTATTCTGTTCACATACAGTGACAGCCTGGTTTAACCTTTAGTTAAAGGAGGGAAAGAAGATTTTAAAATCTTGGGAAGGGGAGTAGCTGCCAGAAGCGAAAGAGTACATTGAGGTCCTGCTGCTGTGCTCTCCTGTAGTAGACAGCAGACAGCTGCACTCAGGAGGGGTCTCCAGCTCAGCAGAAGAGGGCTGATCGCTTGCTTTGAAAAACTTGTTCTGGTAGCTGGTAACTGCCCTCCTGGGGAGCATTTTGAAATGAGGATGTGCATGAGCCATAGGGTTAGGTAGAAATATTTTGCTATTCAGCTTCTAAACCTTGCCATTTAGCCATTAGTTTGCCTCTCTATCTTGCAGGGAAGGGTACGAGAATTTCTTTGATAAGCTCCAACAGCACAGTATCCCTGTGTTTATATTTTCGGCGGGTATCGGTGATGTTCTAGAGGAAGTTATTCGTCAAGCTGGAGTTTATCATCCAAATGTTAAAGTCGTGTCCAATTTCATGGATTTTGATGAAAATGTAAGAATATCAAGTCATTCCTCAATTCTTTTTTGTTTTTTGTTTTTTATCGTAGTGCAGGGATTGAATCCCAGGCCTTCCGGCCTTTTTTAGTTTCTGGGATAGTGTCTTACTGTTGCCCAGGCTAACTCTGAACTTGCGATCCTGCTGCCTCAGTCTCCCGAGTATCTGGAATTGCAGGCACGTGCCACCACTCGGCTCTCACTTACTTCTAAAATCTGAAAATATCTTCATCGTGTAAATTTGTTTATTTATTGTTTGCCATATATTCATTAAAGTAGGCCAAGGTGATGGGCCTGTCCTCATCATCTCTCGTGTTACTACATCCGTAGTATTTTAAAGTAACATGCCCTTCTTAAACTTTGGTACACAAGTTGTAGACTAATATTAAAATTTGGGGCCGGGGATTTAGCTCAGTGGTTCTGGCGCCTGCCTCACAAACACAAGGTCCCGAGTTCGATCTCTGGTACCAAAAAAAAACATTGTAAAACTTCTCTTAATGTCATTTAATGCAGCAGTTGTGAAGATCCAACATTCATAGGTGGAAAACCGGCTTTCTATGAACAGTTCTCCTAGTTATGACAGCATGTTAGCATGGGGTGGGGATTTAGCTCTGAAGTCCTAGCACCTGGGAGGCTGGGGCAGGAGGATGGAGAGTTCAAGGCCGCCCGGAGCTAGAGACCATGTCTCCACAACAAGAAGGTGATATATTGTAAAATTCATAAAATGAAACACTCTGGTGAAGAACAAAATGAAAAATAAAAGCTGTATTCTCAGTTCATTGTGTACTTCCATTTAAAGTGGTCACTAGAAAGTAAGTTACTTCTGGAGCCCTTCCTGCCTACTATGAATGTGATCGATTTAAGTGCTTTGTAAATTTTTTTGGGGGGAGACAGGGTCTCGCTGTGTAATACAGGCTGTTCTTGATCTCACTATGTACCTCAGGCTGGCCTTGAACTCATGATGATCCTCCTGCTTCAGCCTCCCAAGTGCTGGGACTACAGGCATGTGTCACCACACCCAGCTGTAAATTTCTTATGATAAAATAATAGTGGCAAGGGCCGGGGATTTAGCTCAGTGGTTTCACCACCTGCTGTGCAAGCGCAAGGACCCAAGTTCGATCCCCGGTACCAAAAAAAAAACCAAAACAAATAGTAGTGGCACCCAGTAAGAACTGTAGAATATGAAAGTGTAACAAATAGTGCTTGTAAGACCTCTTATTTTAGAACATTTCTATTTTTCACAGGGGATGCTCAAAGGATTTAAGGGAGAACTAATTCATGTATTCAACAAACACGACGGTGCCCTGAAGAACACAGACTATTTCAGCCAGCTAAAAGACAACAGCAACATAATTCTGCTGGGAGACTCCCAAGGGGACTTGCGAATGGCAGATGGGGTGGCCAATGTTGAGCACATTCTGAAAATTGGCTATCTAAATGATAGGGTAAGTATATAGAACTAAATTTCCTTTTAAGAAAAAATGAGGCAGAAACTTTCTAGGCAGTGGTTCCAGCAGGCACGAGTCCTTCACCCTGTACTGGCCAATGATTCGAGGCACTGAGCGGCCCAGGTGTGTGCAGCACACGGGGCTGGAGGCAGACCTTGTGCAGGTGGTGCTGGCTGCCACTCCCTGAGCCTGGGGCCCTGCCAGTCCTGGCACAGGACAGGATCGCCCTGGGCTGGAGAGAGTGCTTGGGAGGAGAGCGCCCTGTGGGTACGGGAGGTTCCTGTCCTGGCCGGAATGCGCTCCTTTCAGGAGTTTCAGGACACTGACTGGACTCCACTTTTCCCAGCAGACCTAATAGAACAGTGGCCTGGGATTAATACTGAAATCACCCGCTCCTTCTCCCTGCATGTTCATTTTCTTTCTGTTCTTCGTTCATTAGGTAGACGAGCTATTGGAAAAGTACATGGACGCTTACGATATTGTCTTAGTAAAAGACGAGTCACTGGAGGTGGCCAACTCCATTCTGCAGAAGGTTCTGTAGCAGGTGTGTGTGGAAGGGCCTGGCTCCTGGGCCGCTCGGCTCCTTCCTGGCGAAGACTTATTTATGTGGTTCTTGGCGTTGACGTCTCCTGCACGCAGTGAAGTGTTGTCCGACGCAGAGCAGCCATCAACTGGAAACCCCTCTCCCACCATTCAGTACACTCCTCGTCATGTTTTTTTTTTTTTTTGTACCGGGGATCGAACTCGGGTCCTTGCGCCTGCAAGCCAGGCGGCAGAACCACTGAGCTAAATCCCCAGCCCTCGTCATGTTTTTTAATCACTTAAAAAAAGAAGCTTTACAGCCAGAATTAGAAGTTAACTTTCGGGCCAGGGATTTAGCTCAGTGTTTCTGCCACCTGCCTTGCAACCACAAGGACCCGAGTTCGATCCCTGGTACCAAAAAAAAAAAAGAAGTTAACTTCCTACTTTTCCAAGGTGAATTTTGTAGTTATCATGCATTTTTTGAGGTTTTTTTTACAACAGGAACATTTGTAGAAGTTTAAAGTGTTTTATGAAATGGTGAAATAATGTGCATGATTTTAAGGATTGCCGCATTTGTAATTTGGGTGGATTATGCCAGTGTTCTCACCATCTCCCAAACTGTATGACACGTGGTGATTCCGCCTGGGAAAATCAAGACTGGGCGTCCACACCCGCGATGTCAGAGCACTGATAATAAACATGAGATGAACCTTTTAAAGTCTGCTGTCAGCACGTACTTAGGCTGGGCATGGCACACGCCTGTAATCGTAGCGCTCGGGAGGCTGAGGCAGGAGGCTTGAGAGCGCCAGGCCAGGCTGGGGTGCACAGGGCGACTCTGTCTCAACACCCCACCCCCACAAAAAGACTGCAGCAAATATTGACTGGGTACCTGCAGTGTTTGTTCCTCCCCCCCAACCCCGTGTGGATTCTAACGTTCTTGTCGTAGTGGCTGTGTAGATTACACTCTGTAAATCTGCCCTCTACACACCAAGGCCTGTGGAAATCTTTTCCCCAGTTGGAAACGGGAGGGAGAGAGTGCTGTGCCCCAGAGTCCCGCAAAGGAGCTGTAGCGGGTCTCCCGGGGCCGCGGGGCCGTGCACAGGAGAGCGGCCCCCAGACTCCCACCGGGGAGACACCTGTGCCTGCCCGACCCCGCTCACCCCAGCTCAAACTCTGCAGACCCGCAGCTCCTCAGCAGCTGGAGCAGAAGGCCCAGGAGGGGCAGGGCTCCTGCTGTGGGCGGGGCCTCTGGCCCAGGGGTGTGGCAAAGGTGAGGCCACCCACTATGGATGCTTGTGCTTAGCTCTGCCGGCTCTGCCGCTCCTTCCTCTTCCAATACATGAGACAAAATACTCCAGAGGGTGCACGCCACACTAATAGCATTCAGTGGCGGCAGAAGGATCGCCAGGAACTTGAGGCCAGCTTAAGACTACATAGTTAGGGCCAGCCTGAACCTTGTGAGACCTTGTCTCAAAAAAGCACAAGCCAAAGATAGAATGGCTTTGAGCTGTGATCACCAAGTACACTGGCACTTTGATCCAGCTCTGAAAGCCCGCTGTGTCTTCAGCTGCGCCGTTGCGGCTGCCTTGATGTCCTGAATTGACTCAAAGCGATGCTGTTTCGTGGTCATTTGACTTTGGGGAAAAGCAGGAAATTGCAGAGTGTCAGATCCGGTGGGTAAGGTGGACGAGGACACGCCGCCGAGTTTTTACCAGCCTGCCTTGCTGTTGGAGGGCACTCAGCAGCAGCATTCACATTTTTGATGCTATCTTGTAAAGACTCAGGAAAGACTTCCAGAACTGCTTCAGAAAGTGGCCAGAGCCATGGTGTAAGTATTTGAACCAAAGCGGAAAATTGAGGGAGTTTTGTGGTCTTTTACTGTGATAAATTTAAAAATTTTAAACACTCACCATATATTTTGATCACCCCTATATTTCCAAAATCAGACTCAAAACTAAACTCAAAACTGAACTCAAAACTGAATTGGCAGGACCAAGAGTCTACAAGTTTGAGACCAGCCAGGGAGCAGAGATAGATACCCCAACGCAAGACAAAAAACAAACGGGCAGAGCTGTGGCTCAGTGTTAGAGCACAGGCTTAGCACGAGCAAGGCCCCGGGTCCGAGCCCAGTATCACGTGCACACTGTACCAATGCAGAACACAGCGTGGCGCGAAGTATCAGCCAGGCTGATCTCTGTCAGCACCGGTTAGTCACGGCTCTTTGCCGGGGGGACGCACTGCGCAGTGCTGCGGGCCCTCAGGGCTCAGCCCCTAGTGGAGCGCCGCCTCCTGTGACTAGCCTGCGACCCTGTCACTGCCGCTGGGCGCTGGGCGTGAGAAGTGTGAGTGCAGGTGTCGGTTCACTGCAGCCACCGAGAAAAGGGCGGGGGAGTCCCACGGGTTTGGGTGGTCACCCACCGGTGTAGCGGGTGCCCCAGGATGAGCTGGGATTGAGTCTTCGGGATGGGCCAGGCAGCACCGAAGCCAGGACAGAGCATCGTGTGGGTTGCCCGGTGCGCCCGTCTGTGAGGTCTGCACATGCTCTCCAACTGTCTGCAGAACAGCGACTGTCACTGTAGTTACTCCCACAAGGCTGAGCTGCAGCCCGCTGGCGTCGCGGTCAGTGTGACAGATCGGTTAAGCCCCAGTGCACTGCTATTGTACAGCAGCTACCACGTTTGCCAAAGCGCCCAGCATTAGCTAGTGGTTCGCTTTTACAGTTAGTGCTGGGGATTGAACCCCCGGCCTCGTCCGTGTGAGCTAAGTGCTCCAGAACTGGGCTGCATCCCCAGTCCTTTTCTGGTTTTTGAGACAGGGCCTCACTGTAGGCTGGCCTCAGACTCGTGGTCCTCCTGCTTTAGCCTCCTGAGGGCTGGGGTTACAGGACTGTGCCATCACACCTGCCTGGCTGTAAATTTTGCTTTTTGAGGTAAAGCAGTTTTGAGTGCTACAACAATTTTTTTTTTTTGGTACCGGGGATCAAACTTGGGTCCTTGCGTTTGCGCAGCAGGTGGCGAAACCACTGAGTGAAATTCCTCGCCCTCAACAATTTCAATTTTTTAAAAATTTGGGGAGAACACTATCATCGGTGATCCCAGCTCATTCCAGAGCGGTTTCATAAGAAGTTTGCATACCGTGGTGAACCTCATGGACACCAAGATGGAGAGAACTGAGGTCTCTTAGCCAGCCTGCAAGGCAGAGGGTTCTCCCTTCGGCACACTTTAAGGAGAAGCAGCAAAGAAGATGAACGTGATCTGGAATGACTAATCCTGCAACTTCTCCATGGTTACCCTGCAACTCAACCATCGTGCCACCTTTCACGGTCACCCTGGAGTTTCAGCACAAGTTTAGCAGATCAAAAGTGCTCAAGGTGTGAGGGACACAAGCTTTGAAAGTGACATCTGCCCAGCGCTGCGCGTGTTGCCACACCTGTGACTGCAGCTACCTGGGAGCCCGAGGCAGGAAGATGGAGTATTGGAGGCCAGCGGGGATTACACAGCAAGACCTTGTTGCAAAAAACCCCAACCAACCAAACGCAACAGTCGCACTTGGAGCCAGGCTTCTGCCTCAGCCTTGCTGCCAGGCTTCTGCCTCAGCCTTGCTGCCCTCATCTGGACCGTGGAGTAGATAGGCAGCACGGAATGAGGAGCTCTCACTGGCTCTGGAGAAGAGAGCAGTAACAGAGGATGCACTTCCTGCCCTCGTGTAGCCTCTGTCCCGAGTGGAAGAGATGGGAGAAAAGAAGAGGAGATAACATGACTGTGCCAGGAAGGAAAGACCAGCGATAGTGGACATCGGTCCCTAAGCAGAAACCTGCAGGGTAGGGAGCAAGGGCGAGTGCGTGGCGGACAAGCACTCTGGGGAGGCCGCGTGCGGTGAGCAGGGCCTCGGGGTCACAGCCCACTGGGTGCTCTGGCCTCCCTCGGGCACCATGACCACTACCTGTGGGGGACCGACCAGCACGCCTACTGGGGGCCACACAACCACCAAGCTAGCAACTGTGGGGAGGCCTGGGAGCAGCTGCTGCCATGCAGCATTCGCAGGCTGGGAGAGGAGCAGTGGGTCTCGCTGGAGAGGCAGGAATGTGGCATCCAGACACCCAGAGCACGCAATGCCCGGAGAACTACAAGAGACGACATCAAACAGACTGGAGCACAAGGGAGAAACTGCAGCACAAACTACAAATTTGGTGTTGTCTGCTGTGTCTTAGTCAGCTTCCCATTACTCCAGCGAACACCCGAGACACCAAGTTGCACAGGGAGAGACTTCATTTTGGCTCTTCGTAGAGGGCCTGGTCCGCCTTCTGGCCAGGAAGACACAAGGTTGGGCACTTGTGACAGCAAGCCACTCACCTCCTGGCCAGTGAGTGGAAGAGAACCAGGCCTGCCTCAGGGCGCGTCCCATGCCAGTGCCAGTGACTCGGGCCCTGTAGGCCCTGCCTCTTGCAGCATTCCCACTCCCTCCCAGCAGTCCAGCCTAGCAATAATGAGGGCCATGCAGAATTGAGCCTTAATGACCCAAGTGACATCGGCAGCTGGCCACAAATAACCAAGATCAGTCTGCTGTTAAAAGCCTCCAGGTTCCTAAGAGAACCAAGGAAACGGGATGCGAAAGAAGCATTTTGTTCCTGGAAACCTCAGATATGTAGTTGTGCATGAGGCAGAGAGCCCCACTCAGCTGCATGGTCCTGCATTCAGGCCAACTAACGGTGTCTTTTTAAGTAAAATATTTTGAAAAATGCCAATTGCTGAATAACCAGAGATCCAAACCCACTGATGTTAACAGAACAGTGCACGCTGCTTGCATCTGCAGCTGGCCCAGCACATGGCATCACGCGGATGCCGGCACTGCCCATCCTATGCTCGGCATCCAGGACCAAGGTTCGGACTGTACCAGGCAGAAGCTGGGTGTCAGCAGCTGCTCCATCTCAAGCAGCAGCAATGAAATCAGATACACGATGAGGTGAAAGAAGAGGCCCACAGCGTCCACCCTGAATTTGACCAGAATTTACATGTCCAGTCTCACAAGGCCAGTAGCGCCTGGACCGCAGCTGCTGCTCAGCCAGGCCCACTGAGCCTCAGGAGGACGGACGAGCACAGTGCCCTCCATTCTGAGTTCCAAGGCCACCCTCTCCCTTCCCCAAAGAAACTTCTGGTTCTGCAAACTGGCACCCTGCGCTGTGCAAAGCAGCCCACAGATGTTCAGCTGGGGCTGGATGAGATGGAGGTGCAGAGGCAGCGCGTGGCTCTGACCTGTGAAGGCCATGCACACAGTGCGCGGGTCAGCTGCACGCCCGGGTGAGTCAGCCTCGAGGGGCAGGCTCACTGACCCGCCGTGCACAGCAGGAGCGGTCACAGGAGCCCAAGCAGCAGAGGGGGGTGACAGGCCCGGAGCTCCAACACCCCGAGTCTCTGGGCTTGCCCGAGCCCCTGCTGCGGAGCAGGACCACAGTCCACCTGCCAGCTGCCGGCAGCTCCCACCCAGGCTCACTGGCCCTTCTCAGCCTGGTGTTGGAGAAGCCGGGAGCCCCTTTCCTCTGAGCCTTCGCCCTCCTGGCTGTGCTGCCACCCAGTTCTGGGGGCTGCATCCCTGCAGGGTTCTGCCCGGAGCTCCAACGCTGCCCCAGCAGCACCAGCGCGGAGGGCCCCGAGGGCTGGATGGGCGGGCAGAGCTGACTCGCCTCCGGGGTCCTGCGGGGCCTTTCTTTCCTGACCACGGCAGAACAAATTTAAGACACTGATAGTGAAAAACCTTTTAATCTCTTTAGGTCGGTGCTGGCCACTTTTTCTCCTGCTCTTCCAAGATGACATTATTTCCCGTTAATTACAAGGCTCCCTGGCGGGGCAGCCTCCCCAGTCCTTCGGGCCAGGCCGAGGCGCTGCCCAGGTTCGGTCCCGCCCCACCCCACGCGTGCGCCGTGGGATCCGATCCGCTCGCCCCGCTGGCCGCTCGCTCCCGGAGACCCTGGAGCCCTCGCTGCACTCTGCGCGACAGGTGACGGGTGTCGCGTGCCCCCTCCCTGGCACAGGCTGGCTCGGGCTGTGCACTAGAGCTCATCGTGCTCGGCCTCCTGGTCTTTGAGCTTGAACTCCGCAGCTGTGACCGCCCCGTCCCCGTTCCGGTCCTGGTTGGTGAACATATTCTTCACGATCATCTCGGCGTCAAATCCGGGAGCCAGCTTCCCTTTGCCGCTGGCCACCTGGGCGTGGATGTACTCTGAGAACTGGGGAAGGGGGCGGGGCAGAGGTGAGTGGCAGCAGCGGCCCTCAGAGCTGGGGAAGCGGGCCAGGGGGACAGGGCCCGGAAACAGCCCGACTCGGGGGGACACCAGCAGACCAGGGCATGCGGGCCGAGGGTGCAGGGGCCCTGGCAGTCCCTGCCCCGCGTCCTGGCCCCCGAGTCCCTCACGGTGGGCCGGCCTGAACACATGGCACCCGCCGCGCCCAGCTGCACTGGGCAGGGACAGACAAGTGCAAGCGCAGTTAGGGAGCGACAGCGGCGGCAGCAGGAAGCGCAGTGCACCAGGAGGAACTCAGACGCTGGGGGCGGGGGCGCAGCCCTCCATCCAGACCTCGGGAGGCTCCCAGGGCAGCGGGTTCGCCCGGCAAAGGGCCAGGGCCGAGCGCTGGCCGGGCAGAGGGGCTGGCGGCGGGGCCTGGGGGGAAGCAGCAGCCGAGGCCACACGGCCCTGAGGAAACAGCCACTCTGCAGTCGGCAGGACGGGCGGCCAGGACGCCAGGGCCAGAGGTCCTGATGGGACCACGAAGCGCCAGTGGCCAGGGACAGCCACAGCACCGAGGGAGGGAGGAGAGCGGAAAACAGAGCAGGTGGAGGCCGCAGGGGAAGACACCGGGAAGCCAGGTTCCGGGTCCCCGGGCTCCCTGGGCCCGGCCGACTCGGGGCGAAGGGGCGACTGTCACCTGGGCTAGGCCAGCTGCAGTGAGAGTGACAAAAGCCTGTCAGATGGAAGGGGCTCCACAAAGAATGAAGTGCTGCTGAAAGTGAGAACAGAATGGAACGCTGAGAACGCTGGCCACACCCACTGGCCCACGGACACGGGAGGAGACCTGGAGCCCGGGTCGGAGGCCGGCCTGGGCGCCACAGCGAGACCCTGCCTCGAACAGAAGAGAACGGCAGGCTCGCAACCAGAGGCAGGGAGGACTGGCAAGTCTTCTGAGGTCGTTTGTGTTCTGCATCCTGGGGATTGGACCCAGGGCCTCTGCACGGAGCTGGACCCTCAGTCTCTTTTTATCTATCTACTTATTTATTCATTTTTGAGACCAGGCTTCACTAAGTCACAGAACTGCTCGGGCTGGGCTGGAACTTGCAATCCCCGGGCTCCAGCCTCTCAGAGCACTAGGGTCAGAGGCGTGCACCACCACACCCAGCGTTGTTTGAGGTTTGTGAGTAAAGGGAGCAAAAGAGAAAGGCGCGGGGAGCAGGGGGAGGAGGAGAGCGTGAGCCTGCTCCGGCCGGGCCTCGCCTCACAGCCACCAGAAGGGTCCCAGGCACCCAGCACCGCCCGGCCTCAGCACAGCATGGCCCGTGGCCCCGGCCCACCTGGGTCGGACCAGGAGCCCTCACCTCCTCCAGGAGGACGGCCCCGTCGCCGTCCTTGTCGATCTCCTCGAAGAGGCTGGGGGACACCTCGCCGGTCCACACGAACATGTAGCCCTCGGGCAGCCCGGCCACCAGCTCCAGCAGCTCGATGTCGAACACCAGCACGGCGCTGCCCGGCACCTCCCCTGCTGCGGGAGAGGACGGCATCAGCAGGCAGCAGGCAGCAGGCAGCAGGCAGGCTCCTCCTGGGGGGCGCAGGCCGCCTGGCCGCGCTGGGCACCGAGCGCCCGGCACTTGTGACGTCTGCTCACAACAGTTCAAACACACAGGTCAAATGAAGACAGGCAGTCGGCACCGTGCACGCCTCGGACCCCAGCACTCGGGAGACTGAGGCAGGAGGACCACTAGTCTGATACAGACCCGTGCAACTTATCAGGACTCTGTCTCAGAAAGTTAAAAAATGTTTAGCTCAGTAAAGTGCAAAGCTCAGTGCTTCTGTCCTAAATTCAGTCCCCAGTGTGGCCAAAAATAATAGTAATAATAATCATATAAAAATATAGGAATAGGGGTCGGGGATTTAGCTCAGTGGTCCCGCCACCTGCCTTGCAAGTGCTAGGTCCCGAGTTCGATCCCTGGTACCAAAAATAAAAAAAAAAAATATGTATATATATAAAATAGGGCTGGGGATTTAGCTCAGTGGTTCCACCACCTGCCTCGAAAGCGCAAGGTCTTGAGTTCAATCCCGGTACCAAAAAAAAAAAAAAAGGAATAAAATAAACTAGACCCATGAACACTACACATAGAATCAGTATTGTTCCACGGAACTTTCATTTCAATTTTATATTTAAAACTAAGTGTCTAAGGGGCCGGGTATTTAGCTCAGTGGCACAGCGCCTGCCTTGCAAGCACAAGGTCTTGAGTTTGAACCCTGGTACCAAAGGAAAAAAAAAAAACGAAATGTCTACACGTTTATGTGTAAGTGAAAAAAGTCTGAAAGCCACTAGTTGAGTCTACAGTGGTAGAACTTTTGAATAAATCTAGCAGGAGAACTTGAAGAATAACAAGTTGGTGGAGGTACCCCACACCTGTAATTCCAGCACCTGAGAGGCTGAGGCAGGAGGACCCCAAATTCAAACCACTTAGGAAGACTGACTCAAAATAAAAAGGGCTGGGGATGTAGCTCAGTGTGAAGAGCCTGGGTTCAATCCCCAGTATTGGGGGGGGGGGACAAAGAGAAAAAGAAAGATCAACCCAATTGCGCTCACAAGCCAGCACTTCGCAGGTCCAGGCAGCAGCAGGGTGAGGGCGCTGCAGATGGGTCGGGGCAGACCGCAAGGTGACCCGCGGCCACTGCACCGTGCAGCAGCCAGTTCTTCCAGGACACGAGAGCAATCTCTGCCAAAAGGGGGCTTTCCTAGCTGGGCTGGAGGCAGGGCAGGGAGCCCAGCTCCTTCCAAATCTGCTTTCTCTAAAGGGCAGCACGGGGTCTTCAACCAAAAGCTGAAAACCACACAGAGAATCGGGACGGCAGAGCCCCCAAAACCAGGCCTGGTGGTGCACACCTATAATCCCAGCATTCCGGGAGGCTGGGGCAGGAAAGTGGCAAGTTGGAGCCCAGCCCAGCCGAGTTCGTGACTAGCCAGACCCTCCCTCCAGGTAGAAAATAAACAAGCAGCACAAAAAGGGCACGCCACGCCACGCCACGCCACGCCTTACCCACGCCGGCCTCCCCGTAGCCCAGGTGGGGCGGGATGACCACCGTGCGCCGCTCGCCTACGCACATCTCTCGGAGCCCCATGTCCACGCCCAGCACGACCTGTCCGAAGCCCAGCACCACGTTGTGCGTCTTGCCCAAATTCCACCTGAAAGGGAAGCGGGGCGGCGCGGCGTCAGGGCCCAGGGCGCTGGGGCGTCCGAGGAGGGGACCGGTGTCCGGGCCGTCACGGGAGGGGCAAGCGCGCCAGCCCCCGGTCTCCCGGCGAGCAGAGCTCCGGGCCCTGGCGTGTGTCCTGCGGGACCCTGGGCCTGCGTCACTAGCCAGGGTCCCCCCTCCCTCCCTCCCTCCCTCCCTCCGTCCCTCCAGGAGGGACAGACTGGCGGCTGCAGCTCTGACCCAGGCCCCTCGCCGCCAGCGTCTGCCCGGGACCGGTCTCCGCGCAGCCCTCCCAGGGCCCCTCTGCCCCTGCTCCAGACCGGAGGGCAGGCAGTGGACGCCCGGCCCTGCCCGAAAAGGACAGGAACACTCGCGGCAGACTGCAGTATCCGGAGAGGGGCGACCTGTCAGGCTCGGTGGCGCTGGAGCCACAGACCCACGGATTTCACTGGTGCTGAACTGTGCGTTTTTCGTATTTTAACACTGTGATTAGGCTGTGTTATGATGCTCGTTATTTTTTGACAGCACCTTTACTTTCAGTTTTTGAGCACGGTCTTGCTAAGTTGCTCGGGTTGGGGTAGAAGTTGCGACCCTCCTGCCTCAGCCTCCCAGAGTTCCAGGACCACAGGCGGGTGCCACCACACCTAGCCAGGCCGCATTTCATTGGTGATGATCCTGGTTCACACCCTGGATTCTCTGAGACCTATTCTCAGATTCAGCTCAATTCACTTCTACAAAATGCTCCTCTGGGCCAAGGGCGAGGAAGACACTGAGTTTCCTGAACGTGTTCCGAGCAGCCAGAGACGGAAACCAGGGTGACAGAGGAAAGGCAGGTGGCACATGAAGAGCTAAGAGAACAGCAAAGCAGGGGCCTGCTCTTCCCAAAAAATGAGGAGTGGTTTTGAGAAAAGGGACGACAGTGAAGCCGGGGAGATGTCGGCTAGAAGGAGGAGACTGCAGTGCACGGCCTGCCCCTCTCCGGGGCAGACCTGGGAAGCGTGAGAAGGGCCTCGGCAGAGGAGGAGCCCGCGGGAGAGGCAGGCCGGGGCCCCTGCAGGAGGCTCTGGGCCTGGCTGTGTCCGAGCGTCAGTGCTCAGGCAGCGTCCAAGGCCGAGCCAGTCCGGCAGGTGGGGAGGTGCAGGCACAGCGAGGGTCACGGAGTGAAGGAAGAGAAGCTGCCGGGCCTTACGTGGAGGCCAGCAGGGTCCCGTCCAGCAGCGACGCGTTGTAGTGGTACTTGAGGAAGTCGCCCTTCTGGCTCCGCACCGAGCAGTCGGGCGGCCGGTAGTGCGAGGTGATGTTGACCGAGTCCGAGGGGTTGTGGAAGTCGACCACCTGCACGTCGAACACCAGCACGGCCGAGCCTGGGATGTTCCCTGGGGACAGAGCCGGAGGAAACCGAGGGCACTGGGCAGCCCTGAGCGCCATCCCACCACCCCCGCCTCTGGGCGAACGTGCACAGCTCACAGAAGTGTTCGTGAGGGCGCACACCTGTGATCCCTGCAGCTGGGAGGCTGAGGCAGGAAGATCACTGTGAGTCCAAGGCCAGCCCTAAGGAAAAGTGTTTTTCACACACACCCCAGCCGTGAAGAACCCTTAGGGCCAGGCGGCACCACAGCCCCAGAGCCGGCAGGCTCTCTGTGGGCTCAGTGACTGCTGAGCGAACCCCGAGCACCTCGGCTGGTCACCACCAGGTCACCTCAGTGTCAGCTTTGTGTGCGTGCACGCGCGCGTGTGTGACCATGGGGCTTGAAGCCTCAGCTCACACGTGCCAAGCAAGCATTCCACCACTGAGTGACAGTCCAGCCCCTTCTAGCTTTCATTTGGGGTCAAAGTCTTACTACATTGCCAGGCTGGCCTCAGACTTGTGACTCTCCTGCCTCAGCCTCCTGAGTGGCTGGGATTATAAGCTTGTGCCACCACGCCTGTCTAAGAGTTTTTAAGGAAGTGTTTCCCGAACAAAAGACGTACAGGACTGTCCTTAGCCCTGTGCATAGAAGGAAACCAGCGCGCACTCAGCTTGTTCAAGGTGTGTGCCAACAGACACAATTTGAACCTGGACAGAAAAGCAACCCCCGTCCCAAGCCTTTTCTGAGTCTGACTCTTGGCTGGTGTCCCTCTCCCCTGCCCTCCCCCCATCTCTCTCTCTCTCTCTCTCTCTCTCTCTCTCTCACACACACACACACACACACACACACAGCACTCTCACAATGAATTCCTAAAAGTACCAGATCTGAAGTGCTTCATACACGTAAATCTACCCCTTTTTTGGTACTGGAGTTGAACCCTGACCTTCACACTGAGCTACATCCCCGCCTGCCTTCACTTCTTGAGACAGGGTCTTGTTAAGTCATTTAGTTGCCCCCACTGGGATCAAACCTCGGTCCTCCTGCCTCAGGCTCCCAGGATGCTGGGTTACAGGCCTGCACCACCACACCCGGGGACTCGATTCTGGTGCTTGCCCAGGCTCAGGGTAATGCTGGAGAGCCAAGCTGTGCTTCCAGGAGGGCCGTCCACCCCACAGGGCTCTTTCCAGGGGACCGGGGAGCTGCAGACTGCACGGCACGGGCTGCTGGGGCCACTGACAGGGCTTCCAGGTGGGGCGCAGGGGGACCCGGGAGAGGACCACAGGAGGGCAACGCTGCAAGGCAGCCAGGACAGCACCTACAGACCCTCAGGAAGGGGGCTCCAGGGCTGCCTGAGAGAGGAGCCAGGGTGCCGGGACTGATGTGTCCCACGAGAGGACGGAGGGTTTGGAGGGCATTCGTGTCAATGCGTCTTTTATTCCAGTACATTTTATTTTTAAAAAATTTATTTTACTTATTTATTTTTTTCGGTACCGGAGATCGAACTCGGAACGTTGAGCTTGCAAGGCGGGTGGCGGAACCACTGAGCTAAATCCTTGGCCCTACAGTACGTTTAAAAAATTTAAATATTCACAGTCTTTTTCGATCATACCTAGTAAAAGAAAAAGACCATGTCATCATCTGAAACAGGCGAGCAAACAAGCAAAGCCCGGGCTCGGGCAAACCGGCCACCTCCTGTGGCCTGACAGCGGCCTCACCCCAAGCGGGCCATTACCCGGGCCGAAGCTGTTGCCCATGTTCACGCAACGTGGGCCAAGCACAGGCGGGGACGGGCAGTGCTGCTGCTCCTGGAGCCGTCGGCTTCCTGCGAAACTGCCCGGCCGTCAAGTCCGCCCCTCGCCACCCTCCCGGTGACACAGGCGGCCAGAGACCAAGGACAGGGTGGGGAGCTGCAGGGAGGCCAGCGTGTGCAACCCGCAGGAGGACGGTGCCACCTCGGGCATCAGGGCTGCGGGCTGCCCTCTGGGGACACGGCTGAGGACAGAAGCCTCCAGAAACTTGCAGAGGCAGAAAAAGGCAGCTTCCCTCACTCTCTGTGGAGGAGCTGGCGTGATGTGAGGACAGGCAGACCGGCTGAGCGCGGAGCCCCTCGTCCCTGGGCCTCTGCTCCCTGACTGGTCCAGGGGCCACCAGGAGAACGTGTGTGTCCTGAAGCGGGGCTGCGTGGGTCCAATGCAGCCCTCACAAAGAGCCCACAGGCGCTGCTCAGGAGGGGACAAGCTGGTCCCACAGGAAGCCGGGCTCCAGGGCACTCCCGAGCCCCAGGGCCTCCTGGGGCTGCCTGTGGTTTGCTCTTCAAGGCTCTGTCTCATGCTTGGTGGAAACCCAAAAGGAAAAGCACCATTTCAGCAAATGGTTTTCATCAGTGCATTCTTTCCAGATAAGGAAAGATCAGTCCTGGGTCCTACAGAAACCAGCAGACTCATAAAGTGCTGACCTGCTTCTGCCCCCAACACTGAGGACAGCGAGGAAGCAGGCCGCTGGGTGCAACCTCAGCTGATCTTGTGAGACCAAAGCGACTCCATTTTGCCAAAATCCCCCATTCCCCTAGTCTCTCACAAATTAATGGTTAAAATGTGCTTGCTCTGGGACAAAAGACACAATCTGTAACGAAGCAAAGTTCCTGAGTTAATTACTCAGCCATCTGTTTGCCCAGGAAATGAAACGTTCTGGGCCCACTATCCATAGAACAATCTGTAGATCTGCTGACCATCGGCACGTGACAGTTGGCCACTAACCTTTGTCCCTCTTTTCCCCCTTAAAATCTACATGTAGCCGCCCCTCAAACCCCCGATGGGCCTAGCCAATCAGAAATGCACACTTCATGCTTGCTAATTGTCAACCAATCATGTAACTGCTAAGTGGAAAATCTCCACACCTTGCTGTAACCTCTATAAAAACCCCGCTAATTTGAAATTCGAGGCTCTCAATCTCAACCCGCTGCGTCGGTGACGGTTGGGAGCCCCTGCTCGAGCTTGAATAAACGACCCTCGTGTGCTTGCATCAGAAACGGCTTCCTGGTGGTCTTTGGGACTATGTGATCTGGGCACAACAATCTGTCGTGGCTTAAATCAGAAACTTAAGTCAGGGAGGAAAAGTGCTTCTCCTCAGTATACCCTTTCCCACCAGCCTGGTTACCCCTGAATCCTGCAGGGAAAATCCCCAAGACTGGTCCAGTACCCATCAGGAGAAATGGAGTACAGCCAGCGAGACCTGCACAAATTCCACCAGCAAAAAGAATACAAAAGCAAAGTAAATACTGCATCCACCATTCCTAAGGAAGTCAACAAAAAATGGCATATGAAGTGGTGGCACAGCCCTGTAATTCCAGACCTGAGGAGGCTGAGGCAGGAGGAGTCCCAGAGGGACAGGAGAAGGGGAGACAAGCAAAATAAAGATATGCCAGGACCAGGAACTTAATAACCTCAATGAATGTAAACACGGCACGGCATAGACGAGAGCTACGATTCCTATCAACAAGGATGAGAAGGGGGAAAGGAGATTTAGAGGCGGAAGAGAGGCAAGAGGGAAGGGGACTGAAGAGGAAAACACACTGTAACATGTACTTGTACCCACTCCCAAGAGGCCTGTGACCTGCACGTGCTGCAAACACGTACTAAAAAAGAAAAAGGAAAAAGGCTGGCTTGGGTACTAGCATCCATAGAGTGAGTTCCTGGCCCGCCTAGACTATGGAGCAAGACCCTGTCTTAAGGGGAAAGAAGGAGCCAAAATATGACAAGAAAGAAAACAGAGTTGAAATGCAAGGCAGCCATTGAAAATATCAGTTGCATCGTACTAAATGGACAAAAGCTGAAAGCTTTCACTCTAAAATCCAGAACAAGACAAGGATGTCCCCTGTCACCAGTCCTAGTCAATATAGTTCTGGAAACACTAGCTAAAGCAATTAGACAAGACAAAGAAATAAAAGGAATAAGAATACAAAAGGAGGAGGTTAAAATATCATTATTTGCGGATGACATGATACTCTGCATAGAAGACCCCAAAACTCCACCAAAAGACTCCTAGATTTAATAACCAAATTCAGGGCCGGGGATTTAGCTCAGTGGTTTCAGCGCCAGCCTTGCAAGTGCAAGGTCCCGAGTTCGATCCCTGGTACCAAAAAAAAAAAGAAAGAAAGAAAGAACCAAATTGATTAACATAGCTGGATACAAAGTCAACACTAAAAAATCAATAGCTTTCCTATACACAAATAACAAACTCAGTGAGAGAAATTTGGGAAACAACACCTTTCACAATAGCATCCAAAAAAATGAAATACCCAAGAATCACTCTAACGAAGGAGGTAAAAGACTTACATTGAAAACTACAGTATTCCAGGGCTGGGGATTTAGCTCAGCGGCACAGCTCCTGCCCTGCAAGTGCAAGGTCCTGAGTTCGATCCCCCGTACAAAAAACAAAAACACTACAGCACTCTGAAAAAGAAGATTGAAGAGGACATCAGAAAATGGAAAGATAACCCTTGCTCTTGGGTAGGAAGAACCAATATAGTGAAAATGGCCATACTTCCGAAAATGTTATACAGATTTAATGCAAACCCAAAGTCCCAACAGCATGTCTCACAGAATTAGACAAAGCAATTCTAAATCATTTGGAACCAGAAGAGACCTGGAATAGCAAAGGCAACTCTTGTCAACAAAGGCAAAGGAATCACAATCCCTGACTTGAAATTGTACACAGAGCTACCATGATAAAAACAGCATGGCACTAGCAAAATCAAAACAAAACCCAGACCTAAGGATCAATGGAACAGACTGGAAGACGCAGAAGTCTCCTGTGATTTCAGCATCCAGAATAAATACTGTTGTTGTGCCCAGCAGACTGGCCCCCAGAGAGGCCAGGTCTGAACCCCTAGAACCTGTGGCTGGTCATCTTGTTTAGAGGGGCTTTGCAACTGCCAGCAAGTTAGGGGTCTTGGAGTGGGGATGATGGGATCCTGGGTTGATGGAGGCAGGGAGGCCCGTCCAGGCTGGGGGTCAGAGGGGCCACCACCAGGAAGGCAGGCTTCCAAGACCCCCTTTTGCCAGTACCGGGGATTGGACCCAGGGACACTCTGCCCCTGAGGACATCCCCTGCCACCTGCTTTTTTTCTGAGACAGTGTCTCATTACATTTCCCAGGCTGGCCTTGAACTTGGGATGCTCCTGCCTTGGCAGTAGTAGCCTGGTTACAGGTGTGTATCACTATACCCAGCTATTTACACTACAACTTTTCAAGGAGGTCTGCTGATAAAAATGTTCTAAAACAGGATTGTGGGAACAGATGTTCTAGAAGTCACCAGACTGTATACTCACAGGGGTGAATCTCACGGCACCCAAAACAAAAGCCAGAAAGACAGCTTAGCGCTTACTTTCAAACAGCTCACCCGAAAGAGTAAATAAGTACACATATGGAGAGATGAAACATAGCAAAATGTTGAAAACTGGTCAGCTTTTGACTCTGAGGTAGGTTCAAAATTGTTCAAAAGGAGTCAGGTGTGTTTCTCTCCATAACCCCAGTTACTCGGGAGGCTGAGTCAGGAGGATCACAAGTTTGAGCCCAGGCTAGGCAGCTTAACAAGACTCAAGAAACTTCAAGACTTAAGGAAAAGCAGGGAGGAGACTATAGCTCAGTGGTTGGGCGCCTGCCGAGCATGTGCAGGGTCCTGGGTTCAAACCTCAGTACTGCAAAGGTATCTGTCTTCAAAAGGAAATGAAAGTGGGAGGGGGACAAGGAGCAAACAGCAGAGCAGCTCTGACACTGAGGCCCCTGGGCCTTGGGGCTCGGGCCGCGCCCGCTGCCTCCCGGGAGTGCAGGATGAACACTCACCTCTGCCCTCCTCCCCGTAGCCCAGGTGTGGGGGTACCACGATCCGCCGCCTCTCCCCGATGCACATGCCCAGCAGCCCCTGGTCCATGCCGGGGATCACGTAGCCCTGCCCCACGTAGGTGTCGAAGGTGCGGTTCCGCCGGTAGCTGGGACAGGAGAAGAAGGCAAAGGAGCGGTGAGGACAGCAGCAGCAACACAACCAGGACGGTGCTGGCCTCCTGCTGCAGAGGAGGCCTCTGGGGCAGAGCTCTGCAGAGCCGGGCTTAAGCTCCGGGCTTCTGCGTGCAGGGCACAGGTTCTGTGCTGTGCTGCGCCGCGCCTCCAGCCCTGGAGACAAACACCCGGACTGACGGCCAGAGAAGCAGCAAGAGCAGTGGAGCCTGCAGTGCCGGCACAGTGGGACGGGCCAAGGGTCAGACGCAGTGGCGGGCGGCCCGGGGAAGGCAGGGCCCACAGGGCAGGTACACTGCTCACTAGCTGTCCTCACTGTTTCCATTACACAAGCGCGTATTATCTTTGAAAATAAAAATAAAAATATAGTGTACATTAGAGGTAGAAAATAAAACCATTAAAGGACTTGAAAATATAGGCAAACATATATAGACTCCAGGGAGGGACGGAGTTTGTACCAAGTCACCTGAGACAGAAACTGTAAGAAAAGGACAATAGCCAACGACGTCAATATAAAACCGAGAATAAGGGCCGGGATGGAGCTCAGTGGCACCGAGCCTGCCTGGCAAGTGCAAAGTCCTGAGTTCGATTCCTGGTAGCAGAAAAAAGCAAGGGAACAAAGCCGGGTGTGGGTACACTCTAACCCCAGCTACTCGGGAGGCTGAGTGAGGACGGCACGTTTGAGGTCAGCCTGGGAGCTTCGTGAGCTCTCATCTCAAAACAGAAAAAGGGGGCCGGGGATGGAGCTCAGTGGTTTCGCCACCTGCTGCGCAAGCACAAGGACCCGGTTTGATCCCTGATACCGAAAAAAAGAATGCATTACTGAAATAAAATACTGTAATATCACAGAAAAAAACTGTTCTGCGAGGCTTTGGGATGGCTAAGTAAACCGGAAGTCGGACACCTGGAGAGGCAGGCAGCTGCCACAGTTTGTTTACAGGAAGCCGAAGAGGTTTCCGGACACTCAAGCCACAACTGGCACGCGTGCCCGTCACCGACACCGGGGCCAGCTGCACAAACAAGAGACCTGAGGCGCAGGTCACAGGAAGGAGGCTCTGCACCCCGAGGGCGCGGTCACCCATCCCCCACAGCCGCCAGACACCTGCAGCAGGGAACAGCGGAAGCTCCGGGAGCCAGGGCCAGGCCCCGAGGCCAGGGCAGCCCGGGCACTGCCAGCAGCCACTCCCACGTGCGTGTGCGTGCAGCCTCCGCAGGGTTAGGTCGGCCCAGCGTGGCCGCTCACCTGGAGTCGAAGGGGCTGCCGTCCAGCAGCGTGCCGTTGTAGTGGTACCGCATGAAGTCCCCGCTCCGGCTCCTGCGCTCACAGCCCTCCGGCACCACCTGGTTCTCCACGGAGATGCTGTCCTTGGGGTTATGCAGGTCCAGCAGCAGGACATCGAACACCAGGGACGCCTGCCCGGGAATGTCTTTCCCTGGGGTGGAGTGGGGGAGCGGGCTCCATCAGGACCCGGACGAGGGACGGCCCAGCCCCGTGCTGCGCCCGAGCTGGCCAATCCCCTGCATGAGGATCTCACACCTCTCGGGCAGCCCCGACTGCTTACCACGGCGTCCACCCAGGGGTTTGTGGGCACCGCAGGAGCCCCACTGACTCAGGCCACGCAGCCATCGGCCAGCCAGGCCCATTCCAGCACCAGAAATCGAGGGCTCTGGGTGCGGGGTTCTGAAACCACCCGCAACCCAAGCACGCTCCTATCTGTGGTTTCTGCCGGTGCACCAGTCCCAGTCCCAGACCTCTAATGGCGCCAATTCCAAAGCTCTGGCCCGGTCCAGACACTTGGTGAAAACCTGCCGCCAGGTACATGTGGTGGGACACACCTTGCAATCCCGGCACTCGGGGAGGCCGAGGCAGGAAAATCACCAGCTTCAGATTAGCTGGGGCAACTTAGCAACTGAGTGAGACCCTGCCTCAAAACTACACACACAGGGCCAGGGATTTAGCTCAGTGGTGCTGGCACCTGCCTCAAAAGCGCAAGGTCCTGAGTTTGATCCCTGGTACCAAAAAAACAAAAACCCCATACATACACACATACATATTTTAAAAGGGTTGAGAATGTAGTTCAGTATAAAGACCCTGGGTTCAATCCTGAGTACTAAAAAGAGAGAGAGACAGCAAGAGAGAGAGAGAAACAGAGACAAAGAAACTTATAATCAATGTTTTAAAGAGCAAAAATACAAAATTAAATTCAATCCTTTAAGTGCATCCAAAATAAGGTATAAATAAAATGAAAGTTAAAAAACAAATAAAATAAAATGAAAGTTAACTAAGATAAAGGGAAAATGGCAGCCACAGTCCAAACACGAATAGTGTTCAAACCACTCCTTCCCCCTTCTGCACACTCTGCCTCCACTGTGGGAGCGCTGAGCACAATCCACCTTCCACGCCAACAGCTGCCCGTCCAGGGATCCAAGCAACTGCTGATGGAAAATACTCAAGAAAAAAATTATGTATGAGCTGGGTGTGGTGGTGCTCGCCTGTAATCCCAGCACCGAGGGAGGCTGAGGCAGGAGAATTACAAGTTCAAGTTCCACCTGGACAACTTAGGAAGATCCTGTCTCAAAGTTAAAAAAGAAAAGAGGGCTGGGGATGTAGCTCAGTGGTGGAATACCCTTGATTTTGATCCCTGGGACAGAAAAACAATACATCTCTACTGAACATATACAGACTCTTTCTCTTGGTTTTTTTTTTTTTTTTTTTG